GGATGATACATTAAAAGAAGAAGACATTATTAATTACAAGAATAATAATATTGGATATATTCTAGAAGTGGATTTAGAATATCCTAAAGAATTACACGATTTACACAATGACTATCCAATGGCACCTGAGGTTATGAATGTTAAAGCCAACATGCTGTCAGATAAACAAATTGAAATTTATGAATTTTTAAATCATAAAAAACCTACGGATGAGAAAACAAATAAATTAGTATTGAATTTAAATGATAAAGAAAAATATGTAATCCATATAAGAACCTTACAATTTTATTTGAAGCAAGGGTTAAAACTTAAGAAAATTCATAGAGCAATTAAATTTGAACAAAAAGAAGTTTTAAAACCTTACATTGAGTTTAACACTGAGAAGAGGAAGAATGCTAGAAATGATTTTGAGAAAGATGTTTACAAATTGATGAACAATGCCATATTTGGAAAAACAATGGAGGATAAGCGAAAACATTTAGACTTTGAAGTTGTGAGTGATGAAACTAGATATATGAAGTGTGTAAGTAATCCTAACTTCAAACATAGTCATATCATTAATGAAAATTTGGTTGGAGTTGAAAAGCAAAAAACAAAGTTGAAACTAGACAAACCTATATTTATTGGGATGAGTATTTTAGATTTGAGTAAGCAACACATGTATAAATTTTATTATGACGTTATGAAGCCTAAATATGGAGATAATATTAAAATGGTATATACTGATACTGATAGTTTTGTATTTCATACTAAAACCAATGACATTTATGAAGACCTGAATACAATTAAAAAAGAATTAGATTTTTCAGATTATCCTAAGGAACATAAATGTTATGATGATAATAACAAGAAAGTATTAGGTAAATTTAAGGATGAATTAAAAAGTAAAATAATAACAGGGTTTATAGCTCTTCGTCCTAAATGCTATGCTTACTCAGTTTATGGTGATGATAAAAAATATAAGAAATGTAAGGGCATAGCAAAAGGCACAGTAAGACGTCAAATGAAATATGAAGAGTTTGAGACGGTTTTAAAAACTAATGAGGTTATACATAAGTCATTTAATAGTATTAGAAGTAAAAACCACAGAATTTTTAGTATAACAACTAAAAAAATTGCTCTTAGTAGTTATGAAAACAAAAAATATTGGATAGATAGTGTAAACTCACTTGCTTACGGCCATTATAAAATAAGTTCTTTGAAAACGACTTAAAGAAATATTGACTTAATATATTAAGAGGAAAAATGACACTGTTTAATTATAGTAAGTGTGAATGTTGTAATAATAAAAAGAATGATATTAATTTTACATTGTATAACTTATTACCTGCTAATCTGTGTAATAAAATAAGTGAATATGATGTATATTGTAATCAATGCTGTATAACAAGAGACCTTGAAAAGTTGTTTGTTGAAGAATATAAGGATAAGGGATATACAAAGTTTCAATTAAAATTGAAATTCTTTATGAAATATCAAAAACGATTTCCTGTATATTTTTGTCATAAAATTGATAGAGAGTCATTTGAAAAAGAAATTGATGAGTTTTTTAATAATAAAGATTTGATTAAAAGGTTTGGAGGAGAACTAAGCATTAAACCATATAAATCATTTGCTAAAGAATTTCGTGATTTGTTTGAAGAGATTGATTGGCATTTATTAAGCAAAGATAAAATAAACAAGGTCTTGAATGAATTTAGAATAACTAAATATCATGTATGGTATTACTACAACACTAAATATAAAGTATGTCTATTGCTGTATTTATTCTTTTGGGAATATATTTATTCAATAATAGGAAAAGACAATATCAAATATATAGACATTGGTGATATTGATAAATATGTAGATTACATATTTGAAGACATATTGCCTGACTGTTATCTTAAATCCTTAATTCTTAATTGAAATATAATTATCACATGTAAAATATTATATGTTATAATTGTAATATATTTATCGTTTGTAAAGATTGAATTATTATAATTTGCTTATCTCTTTCAAAGTGCGTTGTTTAGACTTGGCATGCTTTTTCAATTTTTTCGTGCTTTGGCTGTTTGTTTTTGTTTTGTTTGATGCTCTTGTGATATTTTTTGTTGGTATGTTGCTTTGATTTTTGTTGATGTGTGTTTTTGAGTTTGGGTTCTTTGATGATTTAGAGTGTTGCTGTTTTGTTGGTATGCTTGTTTGAATTATTTAATGTTGCATGCTGTGATTAAATATTTTTGTTGCTGGTTGTGATTATTTATTTTGTTTGCTTGTTGTTCTGGATTTTGTTTTCTGTTTGTTGTGTTGCTGTTGGAGAAAAAATAGTAGAAAGAATAATTCTTTGAATTCTCCTTTTACTATTTTTTCCCCCCCCCTCCCCCCCCCCTCCCCCTCCTCCCTCCCCCTCCCCCCCCCAAATGGGTCTGTCTATGTCTGTCTACGTATCTGCATCTGTCTTCGTGTCCGCGAAGACCCCCCCTTGCGTGTCTGTCTGTGTCTGTCTGTGTCTGTCTACGTATCTGCGTCTCTTCGTGTCCCCCCCGCGTGTCTTTGTGTCTGTCTGGCTCTGTCTGCGTCTGCCTGCGCATCTGCGTCTGTCTTCGTGTCCGCGAAGACCCTCCCCCCCCGCTGCGTGTCTGTCTGCGTGTCTTTGTGTCTGTCTGTGTCTGTCTACATATCGCGTGCTTTCTTTCGTCCCGGGCCGAAATTCTAAGGTGTGTGGGGGCGGCGGAACCAGGCCGCAGGCCATTAAATATCCATGACAGCTGACTGGTTTCCCTTGAATTTACAAACAAAACAACACGGGTGTGATGTTGCTGGGGGTCTTGAAGATTCACACACCTGAAAAAACACTAAGCACGAACCAGGGCTCTGAACAAGTTTTGGGTTCCACGCTTCCAACCCCTTTGTTTGCCCCCTGAATCAACAAACATGTCCACTATCTTGCTCACTTCCGATCTCAAGTGAGTGGACACGTAACCAAACATGCGCAAGCCACTAAAACGGTCCAAACCACAAAAGTGACTCAAGTCCATGAACTCCGGGAGTGGGATATCTTCGCAAACATACACAAACGGGTCTGTTTGCGAGCCCAACAACGTGTGCGCTTCTTGAGGGTACCCTTTTAAGAGGTTGGTGCAAAAAGGAAAGCTAAAGGCAAACCGCTCTCTTGCTTCTTTTTGGGAAGGTACGTATGATGGACACTTGGGCTCCATTTTGCGGTCCACCATTTGGATTGGTATTGGCTTCTTTGGTTTTGTTCTGCAAAAAAAAAAACACCGACGGGGAGGGGGGGGTTGTTCCCGCCAAGGTGCCCGCCTCCGGCCTGGCGATCCAAGGCGAGCCCCGCGGTTTTTGCCGCGGAAGTCGTGTTGACATGAAACACTCAGAGAGCGTTTCAGCCCCGTTGCTGCTTTGGATTTGATTTGGATTTGGATAAGCCCTGGTTCTTGTGACGGTACTCTGTCGTTACTTAACACGTGGAACCCTTCGACGTTCGGGGGCTTTTCGTCTTGGTTTGGAGCCTTCTCCTTTGAAAGGGAACCCCCCGTAACGTGAGGTTCCATGTGGAAAGGGTGGCAGGGTACGTTGAAACATCTCGGCCGCCGTTGCGAAATTGCCCTTCCGGACGGGACCTGTGGGTGGAAGAACTCCTGCAGTATAGCTGGTTTGTCCCATGTTTAGGGAGCCATGCATGCCAACTGGTGCAGGAGTTTGACCATCCACCGTATTGGCACAGTGACCCAATAGCTGTTGCTGTGCAGATCCTATGATTGTCAGATCGCCGGCCATTGCTCCCGCGAATCTGCTACATGCTTGTCATAGGAAAAAGATTCTTCCGAGTAGACAAGAGGGGTGAGGAACAATCAACATCTTCATTTGGTTTGGTCTTCTTTTGGACATTTTCCAATGCGCTACAAGTAGCATGCAGTTTTCGTTTGGTTGATGCTAAACGGACTCAGCCAACAGAAGTAGCCAAAGTTCGCACTCGGGAGCTGCATTGTCTCTTGCAGATCGCCCGTCGCTTGTTACGGCTAAGGGTAAATTCATACAAACATGCCGCATTTGGGCATGTCTTGTTTTGAGGGTTTTGGAACGCTACCATTTGGTGAGCCCAACCTTGAAAAAAGACCCACCCATCCCCCAGTTTGCATGATTCCTCCCGAATCCCAATCACTAGCTGAACCCAGAAACCTGCCCATGGGGTGCTGTTGCTCACACACGCAAAAAGGAAAGACCCGCACGGCACCCGACAGAAAGCCCTAGGGGGAAATTGCTTCACTTTGAATCCGACCTTTCAGGACCTCAATTTGCTTGCCCCGTGGAAGAAGACCTTAAATATTTCCAGCAGTGATAAATTCATTTTGAAGACAACAGGGGGAAATAAACCATGGAAAAGGAGTGGTGGGAAAGGTAAAGTGGTGCGTTCGGTCAAGTGGACTGGAAGGGTTCGCTGAATAGGTTATTTGGTGGTTTTGATTGGTGGTTAGAAGGTGTTTCGGGTGGTTTCCCGTTTACCCTCTATCCAAGCCAGTTGAGGGTAACTTGACCAGAGGGTTTCTCCACGCACGGCAGGGTAGAAGTTTGGCTGAGGGAAACTCAACATCAACTTCCAATCCACCTGGCGTGCTGAGCATCGAAACGGTTTCGAGGCTCTACGCAAGGGAAGCACCAGGCCGTTCCTTTGCCAACAAAAACAAACAAGACCGAGGGTTCTGCCAAAAGTCCGCTGGGCTCCTGGTGTCCGGCATTTGACATGCAAACCAAAAGAATCCCAACATGGATCAATGCACAAATGAGCCTTGGTCAAACCTCCTATAGCCCATGGTCATGATTTGCCCCCCCACCAGGGCTGAAAACACATTTCCACTTCCCCCACTCCAAACCACCAATTCAGGGTAAGGGCGAACAAAAATCTGAATCCCCGACTTCAAACCCTAAAAACAGGGGGGAAATAGAAGAAAAAACAAAAACCGACTGGTCGCTTACGACAACACGTCCCCCACGGGCTCGCGGCTCGCCTGTCGTCGAGGTTCAGGAGGGTACGACCCTCGAAGGCCTCCTGTGCACGGGGTGTCATAGCTGGGCGGTCCATGATCAGTTCCCTGAAAAGTGAAGAAATCTTGTGGGTCACTTCCATTTGCGTAAGCTGGAGAAAAAAAAACACATTTCCAGTAGTGAGAGCTTCCCTCTAAAAGCAAAGAGGGGAAAGCAACCTCCAGACTGACATGGAAGCCTTTGGAAGACTTGGTTGCATTCTGGGGGAGCTTCCGGCTGTTCTGGGGGACCATCTCCTGTGAGGTAAAGGTCGGCTGCTCCAGCCCGAAGATTTGTTGCTCCAGGCGGCCCAGCTGGTCCACGAACTCCTGGCAGCTCCATTGGGCGCCAGCGGGCCGGCCGACAACTTGGATCTGTCACCGGCATCCCAAAATGGAAGCTGACAGGAGGGTTTGATGGACACCATGGCTTTGGAAGACGACTTTTCTTTCGGGGAAAACCAATGTCCAACAACGAAAGCTGACAAAAGGGTGTTCTACTCACTTCCGCTCGAGTGGATGCGCCAAAACCAGTAACTATTTTTTTGTGCAAGCCACTAAAACCAAACCCAAAAGTGACTAAAGTCCAGGACCTCAGGAAGTGAGCCTATGGTTCCCGGAAAGTGTCCACTGAAAGGTCACTGGAAGGCTCAGCCTCTCTTGTCGACCATCAACCAAATACACACCGAAGTGGGGCCTCCGAAGCCCAGTGGCCCACGAAAAGGTGACCATTGTCTTGGTTGATGTCCAAAACGAAACCCTTCTTCAAACCTTGAAACACGTTTGCCTGGATGAACAAAGTTGATTTGTTTGCTGGGCAACTGATTCTATTGCACTTCGCTGGGGCTTTAAGTGATTCCCGTTGAATGAATAGCAAGGAGCCAAGTTGTGATGATGAGAACCATGAGGTGAACAACGAAGGGAATGGTTGACCCAATCTTGATGACAAATCCTCAGCATAAGAGGGTGGTTCTATATCAACCCAACCATTTTCATGGTGGCCCGCGTTGAATTCCAGCCACTTGCGCCTCGCTTCTTGGTGCAGAGCCCTGCAGCCCTGGCCTTCCGCGGGTCTGCGATACTCCTCCGCTCACGGACATGGAAATAGGCGTCCCGGAGGCTCATGCGCTGATGCTTCATGAGGTACCTGAGCCGCTGAAGCTCTGAACCGCGCGGAGTTGTTTGGTACCCCCCCCCCCCAACAAGTCAGTGGAGTCAAGTGCTTGCCATAAACCTATGCAGCTTACGATTTAGATGGCGTGTCAACCGTGGAACTTAGCTTCTGGCTGGTCAAAGGGGTCCCCCAAATTGCATGTTTCGATGTGTTTCCCCTCAGTTCGGGAGGTTTCAACAAACTCTGCTAGTTGTCGGTGAGGCAAACGACTTGGGCTAGGTTCGAAATGGCTCGGTCAGTTTCAATCAAGACATCGCCAATCAGGGGATCATGTTTAGTATTTTATGTCAGCGTGGCCCCATTCAGAAGCCTTCTGCCTGACTGCTCTGTGGCCTTGTGCTGGCCAATGCTACGTTCCAAAGCACACACGCTTTGGCCAAGCAACACTTTATCAGTATTATCCACCCACCAGAACTAAACACTTCCCGCTTTCAAACAACAAATAACTAGATGTGCGAAATGCTGCCAAAAGCATTTCCTGGGGTCCCTGCTTTTGTTGACCAGCTGGCCCACAAGCCAAACATAAAATGCTAAGGGCGATTTCCCGGTGAAAACGACCTGAATGGACCAAACCCACCCGAAGAAGCAATCCAAACTCTGGATTGGTTGGGGGTGCAACTTATCTTGGACACTGCGGACCCTGCGTGGTGGTGGGGAGGGTGGTTTGTCAAAACATCCAAACGTTGGGATGTATCTTTGAGAGTTTTGTTCTAGCAAACGGGCAGCAAGTGTTGCCCTTCGCTTGGCTGCGCCAGAAAGAGAGCTGGCATGTGTTTGTTTTCTTTTCGGTCGACCTACAAGAATACGAGATGTTTCCTAGGTAAACTGACTCTGTTGTTCAAAATCCGGGCCTGCGGGTGGGTTTCTAAGGAGGCCTCCAAAATGGCAATGACTGTGTTGCAAGTACCGTATGTTACTTTTCCCCTCTGCTCCATGTAGCACGTTCTCGGTGTAATTTTCTCGAATTCACTAGCAACAAGTTTAAATAAAGGACACTTCTTTTGGCTGCCTGATTTTTGAAGGGTTTCCCATCCAAACAAAGTCGAAATAGGGCACCTCCCCTCCGAATCGGAAACAGGGCCCCACTGCAGTTCTGTGCCCCAGTGAAGGCTTTCCGCACCCAAAACACAATGAACAAAAAAAGGGCCCCTGCCCCAATCCAAAGGTCCACACTTGCCGGAAAAGACAACCAACCAAAAATGGCAAAAGCACGACGACAAATCGAGAACTGTGCACCCAAACCCCCTTGATTTCAACGATTCATGTTGGCCTCACTAGTTCTTACTATAATCCCCAACCAGTTTTGGGGAGTTCAGCTTTTTTCCGGGTCTCCCCGCGCAATGACCACAGATGCGGAGCGGGACACGCCCTGCGCACAGTTCACCAGCCTCAGCTTTCGCGCGCATGGACAAAAAGACCGGGAACAAGAGGAAATACTGGTACCCTTCTGCTTACAAACCATCCAACTGGCGGTTTCTTTTGAGGGAGTACCTGCCATCATATTCCCTACTGAGCAACAGCAAGTTTTGTCAGCTTCCCTCTAATTGGTGGTTTGGAGCTCGATAGCTTGGTGGTTAGGGAGCGGCTTCCCATCATCCCTGAACCACCAATCCAAGCCACCAATTAAGGCGAACCTGAACCCTCCCGCCCTTGGAACCTGACTGGGGTGGCAAACTCTGTTGTCCTGAAAAGGGACTCTTTATGTGAGTGGCAGCAGGGTAAGGGGGCTTGCAAAGTTGCAGGGTTTTGAGACATACCCAGATCAGATGGCTATATAACAAGCTCCTGAGGCTCGACAGAATCTCGCGGCAGTTGGGATAGATGAAATCCTATGCAAACGATAACCTACCTACCAACTACTGGCGCGGGAATTTGTACATCCACAGCATGCAACATAGGAGTTGTGCAGGGGGCCAGCCAAAAAACATCTTCATATCTGGATGTATGTATCCCTTTTGAGCGCACCCTTTTTCTGAAAGGGAGCCACAAGGAACGCCAACTTGTTTGCTCTGTTTTTGGGAGGGCTCACTGTTCTACAACAAGGGGGGGGCACCCAAACCCATGTTGCCTGGCAATATTGCATATTGCCTTCTCGTTTACAGTGTCCCCTGACCTAAATTTTTGGCTGCAGGAAACCTCGGAAAATAGTAACAAAATACAAAAACAAACAACAACGGAAAGAAACCTACAAAGAGAGCCAGCAACAAAAGACAATGATACACAATCAACAAATAAACAAACCCAGGTAACCTAAGAGTTGACCATGCTGGGGCATTGGTGATATAGTCGTAGGCCTGTACAACACAAACACTAAGCAGTAACTGAAATAAATTCAACGGCGTGAGCCAATAAAACTCACTTCCCAAGTTGACTGGCCAAAAAAGTTTGAACTTTTTAGTTACCACTAAAATGGTCTTCCCAAAAAGTTTAAAGTTCATGAACTCAGGAAGTGAGAAAACTACAAAACCAATAGAACGATAACAACACCTGTCACAACACAACAAGAAACACCAAACAACAAATCAGCCAAAAAAAGAACCAAACGGCTAAACACGCTGGAAATTCGAGCAGCACGTGGTGCTCCACGTTGGCCTCGTGGGCTTCCTGGATGAAGCTGAGCGCCTCCTCCTAAGCCGGAGGCGTCGGGTGGGGGGAGGCCGGGGCCGGGGGTGGGATGGGGTTCAAAGGGTGTGCTTCAAAGGGGGAAGCAATAACATAGGTGTCCTTTTTGGAAAGCAAGTAAGTTTCCCTGGCAACAACCAGGTAAACCAGCGCCCCCATTTGTTCAACCACAACAACCCAAAAAGACAACTATGTGGAATAAGTGTACGTTGGTTCTTGGGGGTGGCTGCAAAGAAGGTGGTTCAAAAGGTGTGCTTCAAAGGAAAAAGGGGTGCCACTTGGTGAAACAGTAAGGGTGTGTAAGGGACGTTTGGTTCGGCTTGGAAAACCTGTACCTTGATCGAAATTTCCAGAGTTGGGTGTTAAAGGGCAAGGGTGTTCAAGTTTTAAGGGCGTTGCGACAGTCCCATCAAAGTGACACCCTCGCATCACATTCCTCTAATTGGTGGTTTGGGATTGGTGAGGGGTTCAAATCCAAGTCCAAACCATCAATTAGTTTGTGCCTGAGAAAAATATTTGCTTGCCCCTCCACATCTTTCCAGGGCTGCCTCAAGTTCACAAATCATGGGATTTGAAGGAGTAAGTCGAGCAACTGGATTGGGATTCTCTAAAACGGTATCTTATCCCAGCGACCTTACCCGGCTGGCCGCCTCTTCAAAAAAAAGAAGAGCAAATACCCCATGGCCCATAAATGGTGGTTCTACATGTGGCTAGTGGTTGGATATCCCAAACGAATCCCATCTTTTGTTTACTTCCGCCGCAAAAAAAAAAAAAAAAATCCAAACCGGCGACTGTGAGCCTAGCCGGGGTCCGTTCAATATCATCACCATTTTATCCTGCCTTTCTGGTCCATGCCAGCCAAAGGAAGCCCTACTCTTAGAAGGAAATCCATTCTCATTGCCGATGCAGTCCTGAGAGGGCCCTGCAACATATGAAACATATGTAGGATCCAGCCCCCCTAACACTGGGCGTAGCGGCGTATCCCGTGTCGCCTGCGACTTTTTCCTCAAAGCTACACAACCCCTGCCCCATTCAAACAAACAGAGCCAAAGAAACAAACAACCGCACAGTTTCTTAATAGGTGAATAAATAAAACATAACACCACCAAACATCAAACAGGAAGCTTACCTTCAACATGTCCCAAATGGAGATGTTTGAACCAACCCCAATGCCATAATGCATACCAAGAATAACATAACCACACACATGCTTGAAGCACAACAAAGAATTGATGATGAAACAGGATTTCCATTCACGCCTCCTAGCTCTGGCTTCGCCCAAAACCGCCTTGTTGTGCTTTGATTGACCCTTTTCTGGGCAATCTAGCCACCTTGCAGAGTGGGAGTGGTAACCAGGTAACCTGGGTCTGTCTTGGGTGGTGGGTACCCCTTTTTGCTGGATTTCAAGGGAAACCACCGCGCCAGCTTTGGGGTCCACCAGCCTCGGACAACCGAGCGCTGCAATCGAGCCGCCAAAACCGAGAGAATGTCTTGGTCGGCCGTGTCTCCCAGACCTGGGCCGGTGGAGGCTTGGACCTCGTTGAACCCATAACCCTTGTGTCGTCCGCCAAGGGGAGCCCCAAAATTGCGAGTTTGCCCCCCAAGTTGCTAGTTTGCCTTCTGGCCTTCCAAGAAAGAACTATCAAAGATAGACGGTCAACTACATGTGCCTGGAGCCCCCCGAAATATTGTGAGCAACAAGCCTTAGATTCCGGTTAGATCTTGCAACTTTAGGACATCGAAACACCTAGATTCACCGACCCTACCGTCAAAAAGTCCCCATTTGCATTTCCTCCAGGGAGGGCTCGGCAATCCATGGGCAAACGATCAGCAATGCACTTGCGGATTCGACCAGTTCTTCTCCCTGGTGGGTCCTCTTTAAGTACTCCTTTGATGTCACGCGCTTGTGATTGTCCTCCTTTTCTGACTTTTGCTCGTTCAATTGTATCAAAAGGTGATCAAAAACAAGTTTGGGTTCCCGGAATCACTCCGGGAGGGTGCCCAAAGAAATGCCCAAGTAGTCAACAAGGGCCCACCCTGCAAGCTTCAGGGGGCAGGCGTGTGATTTCTGTTTACCGCATTCCTCTGGCGCAAAACCAGTAAGGTTGAGGTGGGGTACAAACCCCAAAGCACCAATCCAAACCACCAACTAATCATTACCTGAATAAAGCCTCTTCGTCTTGAGTCCAGCGACTCATCTTCTTGTAGACGAATGGTAGTCCGCGCTCCTTGTTGTAGGCGGTGACATCGGTCACCACATCCTTAAGGACCCAGCTGGATCACAGGCAATCAGCACTTGGAACTCCAAAATGAGAAAGTAGACCAACAGGGGAAACCGAAAGACACCATCAAGGCCAATTTAAAACACAAAACACCAAAAATCGCCGCGCAACGTGACAAACAAACGGGTCGAAACGACACAACAAAAACAACACACCCAAAACGCACACACACACACACAGTCGATACGTTCCTTCGAGTGAGCATCATTTATGGGCGTCACGTCATTGGCCAGGTTTAGAACGTGGGTAATGCCTGTGCGCACAGTAAGCTCCACGTCATTGTCCAGGTTGCGCTTGCCTCGAGTGAAACATGGGTGGCTCTTGTAGCCTCAACAGCTCCGGAGAAAGTACACAAGAACAGCACAAACAGTAAAACAGTAAAACAGTAAACAATACTGTGGTGTGGATGGACAAAATCCTGCGCCACTTTGAAACCATGCGAAACCATTGTCTGCTGGTGTTTACAGGGGAATCATCATTCCAGGCTTTCTTAAAGTGGTGCAGGAGTTCGTCCATCCACAGTATGTACGCCAACAAATGCACCATGAGGCAATATGAACGTCTGAACATGAGGCAAACAAAGAGCTCGATTGCTTGGCCAAACTTGGCTCCCCAAGGTAAGGCACATGGCCAACTGAGCACTTCAAGGTTTAAGGCGAGAATGTACTTAGAACGATAGCTGCGTAAAGGTATATGTTCATGAATATCTGACCCCCTCTACCAAACAAACACACAATGCAGTTCCAAATTCACATGTGCATTTACATGCGCACATAGATAGAAAATAGATGGGACGGGACGGGACGGGATGGGATGGCATGGGATGGGATGGGGTGGGGTGGGATGGGATGGGCTGGGATAAATAGGATAAATAGACATGACCGGCACCCCTCCAAAACCAACCACTTTCACAGCTATTGAGATGAAATCCCACATCGGTTTCAGATGCTTGAACGGGACTAGCTCCTGTTCATATTTGTCTATATACAATATGTTGTTCATAATACACAACACATATCTATATATATACATATACATAATGTCTAATCTAGAAACATATTGTTTCCCAAATATTGAAAATACTTCAAAATCAAATCTGTGACGCCTCTCTACTCCTTGCCGCGCCCAATTGTTTCTTCCAGGCGGCCGCCAAGAAATAGCCAGGGGAGAATTTCCTCGCATGACCGAAGCTTCTGGGAATCTGGGGGTCCTTCCCGATGCCCATTAAAAGAATGGCCCAAGGGGACCCAATTTGGATGCTGATATTCCTGAGCCGTTGGGGAATTTGGGGGAATTTTATGAACTGCAAAATGAACGGAAAGGCACTTGCAGCGCAAAAAAGGACCCCTGACAAGAGTTGAGAGCAATTCAACACCATGCTGGAAGTGTGGATGTGAATGAATTTGAAGATTAGGTCAGGAGGCTGAGTGAAAGCCGAAAGCTGTCACATCCAAGCCCCTGGCTGAAATTCGACCATGCCTTTTGCTTTTGGGCTTCAAGAGGGGTTCCAATCCCCCATGGATCAAAAAATGAGCAGGTTTTTGGGGGGCTGTCTGAGTGAATTCTACTCCCATCCCTCGCGCAATGGAGCCTTGGCCATGGACAAACTAATGCCCAAGGTCAGAAACTATCAGCCCCTGGGCAGTGGGCGTCCCCAATTCAATCGCCCTTAAGGCGGGGAGACATCGAACTGTTGCCATGTGTTGCCAGTTTCTTTGAGGGCACCTTGGGGGGGTTCGCCTTTACTCGAGACACATCGGAATCTCAGATCTCGGAAAAGACCAAAACATGTCATCGGAAGTTGCAAGCGGGTACCGACACCGAAGCCCATGTGTGGCCTTACCTTTTCTTGAGACAGCTCCTGCCTTTAGTGGCGGAAAGTGGGGACTCAGTCTTGAGGTGGGGATACCGGTGAGACTCGAGGTCATTTACCGGCTAATTATCCCAAATCTGGGTGGTGGGCCTGGAAGTTAGGCCCATGTTCCTTGAGGGTGGCTTGGGGGTAGTATGCCTCAAAGATACTTGGTAAGTTTCTTGAAAGTGAACTCGTAGGGAACCCGCCAGGTCGACTTTGAAGGAACTGTGTCACACTAGCTCCGCTAGCCGCCAGGGCTCGCTGGAGTGGGCTGTCATGTGTGACTGCAGGTATTCCTCCAGAACCTCTTTCTCGCAGCGCGGGCACTTCACGCGAACCCGCGCCGCGCTGGGGTCGATCTGGGACAGGTCGATGTCCTCGATCTCCTCAGCGCAAAACAAAGAATCGCCAAGAAAACAACCCTTTAGCAATTGGACATGTTCTCGGTTGGTTCTTTTTAAGGGAACATTGCAAGAGCCGTTCGAATCATAAATGACCCACCTCTAGACTGCTTGCTCTACCAACATGGTGATTAATAAGGCTTTGCCGCCTTACCATGAGCCCCGGCCGTAGAACCATCTGCCATAAAATATTCAACACTTTACTTGGACTTGGGCCTGGAGGGGGAAGCAACAATCGCGGTCGACCGAGGTCCACGCCTTCGACTCCTCACGGTCCTTCCTCGGCAACACCCAACTCCCTCAGATCTCGCTCTCTCTCTCTCTCTCTCTCTCTCCCCAGTGCTATCCCAGTCATACTCTTGGCCCAGGACAAGGAAGAGTCTAACGGATGTGTGCATTTTTGGGGAGGGGACTCCTTTTTGGGTGGTCTTACAGGGAACCAACAAAACCAACCGAAAACACATTTAGACAGGTGCCCCCAGAAAAACAACACATCCAGAGTCTCAAACTAAGGGCGCCCACGGTTGGCTGCCTGTTGTTTTTCCGTTTACCAAGGGGGAACTTTGGGCAACCTTCCCCCGATTTTGGGCACACTTTCATGTTGAGGGTAAAGTGGCTTCGGGTGGAGTGGCTTAGCGGTAGTAAAATCTTCAAACCTGGCATGGGACTGCCAAGATTGGTCTACCTTTGGTCGCCCTGGTCACACCCCCCTATTGATGCTTCAACACACAGCAACTGGCATAGTGGCTCGATCTGGACAAGACACAAGCCGAACGGTAGCACTTGAGGCCGAGCCCATCCCGAGTGCGGTGGGCACAGTGATTCTCAACATGTCCAACTACATCTGGGGATCTCTTAAAAAAAGTGGACCCCACAAATATGGGTTGTTTCCTTTTGGTTTCCCTTTGACACAACCCCAAGAAGGGTACACCCTCCCAAAAAAAGAAACACCACCCCCCCCCCCCACCGGCCCGGGAAAAAGCCATGCCCATCAGTTTTCTGCCAAAGCCGCTTCTCGCCGATGGCCTCCACCCGCTTCAGCAACTCGCTCATGCCGCAGCCCGCCGTGGGCATCACCTTGGGCGCCGCCTTGGGCGCGCCCTTGGGCTTCGCCTGGGACATGCGCGCCGCGTGGGCGAAAGCGCGAGTCGAGGATCTTCGAAGCCCAAAAAGGCCACCCGCAGGGGGAAAAATAAGGGTTTGGGACCTCTAGAGTGCTTTGTTTTTTACATGGCCCTACCCTGAGCCTTATAGTGGTCAATCAAAGGATCCAAGACTGATTCAACCCCTCACGCAATCGTGCGCATAACCTGCTCACTATGCATGTTGGACCTCCACTGCATGCTTTCCTCAGATTCGTAAGCCTGGCAGAACCGGTGATCTTTCTAGTATCCCCGCCTTTTGCTGTTTCCGGCTCAGCACAAGGCCTCCCTCATGTGCCTCTAAGGCGGTTGGCTGGGAACCCTTACCTCACTCTTAGGTTGAAAGCAACAGGCGCCTGGTTGGCCAGACTGGGAGTTGGGGTTGGCTAGCCGCTCCTCAGCATCACTGACCTTGCTTTGATTTGGTGGCAATTGAGAGTTGCGGGCTTGAGGTGTCCACAACGAACCCAAAGCTCGCGCAACCACACCCCAAAGCAACCTGCTCCAAGGCAACCCAAACCGACCCAAAATCAACCCGAACAACCTAACCACAGACTGGACATCAGCCATCAGGTATTCCCAAACGAACCGCAAACAAACCCAAGACCCGCCTCCCACTAAGATCTCAACAAACCCCGAAACCAGCCCTGAGAATTCTCAACTGCCACCAAATTGGCAGCCCTAGGTCCGAGCGAGGTGGGTGCTGCGGCAGCCAACCCCGACGAGCCAAGCTACCATGTCCCAAAAAGCGATCTGGAGCGGGGCATTTTCACCCGAAATCCCGGGAAGTTAAAGCGGTTGAACAACAATTCCCTGGCCAAAAGCTAACGGGCAAAGTGCGAACATCCAGGTCTCTGAGCGAAGGATGGCTATTTCCCGCTTCCCCGTAATTGCTCCTGGCAATTTGTTGGGGATGTATGAAATCTAAGACCCCGAACGAAGATGAAACCATCCGGGGCGCGAGGGCATTCGCAAACCAAACTTGCATTGGTGCCCTTTCGGGGTTGCTTCGGGGTTTTGTTCCAACACCAAGGGGAATCACCCGGATCTGTAGTTCCGTATTTGGAGACACGCCAACATGGCTTTATGCAAGATTACGCAAGCCCTTCTCAGCGCAGTTCTTCCAAAGGATGTTCAGTACAGTATCTCCCATTTGTAACAACTCCACGTTCGGCAAACACGTAATACACGGTCAAGTCACCTGAAAGGGTATTGCATTGGCACGTTGGATACCACAACCTTCGGTGCCACTGGATCAGAACTACGACGAGCAAACATCGGGATTACATCAAAGGTTGCAACATCTAAGCATATAAACGTTAGCCCCCTCCAACTACGCAAGTGCGCAAAGGCACCGCAAAAGCCAATCGTAGTCTTCCAATACCATGACAAGGAGGTAAAGCACACCAGAAATCCATTTTGATTTTGAGGCTCACGCTTTTCCATGGGTCCGGTAGGGATTACAACAGAACCAACGTGTGAACAATTCCTTGGGGTTGCCTTCCCAAAGTTCCCAGGCCCGTGAAAAGACATTCTCAAGATTACCCTCGTGGTGGCTGAGGGATCCACCACCAGACCCCGGGACCCCTCCAAATTCTAGTGTGTACATATTTAGATATTTGCACTCGCTGGGAAGCCACAGCCACGTGAGGATTGGAAGAGCAACCTCCCATGTCGCCGGCCTTGGGGGCTGGCGGAGGCGGCTTGCCCTTGCCCTTGCCCTTGCCCTTGCCCTTGGCCTGGCGACAAGGCAGAGCCAAACTGGCCTCCTTTTTTACTATGATCAAAGTCACTTCTTTCTTTTTTTTGGTGGGTTAAAGGGAAACAACCGAATCCATTTTGTCTGACTTTGATAACCCCCAGAAACAGTCAAAAAAAGGACCCCAGCTTCAAAGCAATCCAAATGAGGCTTTTTTTTAGGTGGAATGTGAGCCTTCAGAAACGCAAGAGGTTTTTACTGGAACTCACGGCTTCGGCCCATTCGAGAGAAGCCTGAGTCTGTGTTGTTCAGGGCTGTGGGAAATGGAATCCACTTCTGTGATACAACAAAAAAGCCTCCCAACGACCAACTCCCCATATAAAGAGGGAGAAGTGGGGATAAACCCCTTGATCCCACAACCCTGGTGTTGTTTGAGCTCAAGAAACTACCCCTCCGAAATAGCACCTGCGCGAGGGTACCTGGAACATCCTGGAACATCAATTTCCTCTTGCCCTCGCACAACCGAGTTTGGATTGTTCGCCTGCTGTCTGTGCCAGGGATACATTCGGGATAGACACCTCGAACGAAAGGATCTTCAGGGCACTTTTTTGATGGCCCGTAAAGAAAGGAACTTTCGCACAGGACTCTGGTTTCCTCCAATCAGGCCTGGAACATCCTGGAAGGTTTCATGAGAGTTTGCTTCTGGGAAACAAAAGGGGCTTGGATCCTTTTGAGACTTGGGACGGCCTTCCCTTACTCGGCCGCCTCGGGCATGCTGTTCATGGCATCTGCTGCCTCCAACAGCTCGCCCTGCGCGCTCGAGTCGCATGGCTTTTGTCTCTCCATGTCTATGTCCCTCTCGATTGGACCATAGACCACGTGTTGCCCAAAAGTCAGCAGCCAACTTGCCCAAGGAAAGACATGAAACTGTCTGGCTAATGTTGGGACTGGATTAATAAACGCCCCCCCCCCCCCCCCAAATGGACGCGCCAAAATGGGGGTAAAGATATGTGGGACACACAAATACTGGAGGACCCGGGGTCCCAATACTCTTTTTGTCTTGCAACCATTTCTTCCTCATATTTTTTTTGGAGTATATACTTGAGCAACTTGTTGGACTTCTACTTTCTTGCAGATTCTGGCAACCACTCAGCGCTGCGGATGTTTCTGAGATTTCTGGCACAGTTGGTGTTGGGTACCAGCCTTCAGGAGCCAGAGTTAGAGCAAGTTGAAGCTGATTTTGGTAGGGACTTGCAGCAAATTCAAGGGCCATGGTTTCCTGTTTTCTGCAGAATTTGGTGTCGCTAATCTGGTTTTGGGAAGATTGTTCGGGTGTTTTTGTTAAATTAGATTCTTTGAACTGACCGTTGTTCAACGTATGTTCATTTTTGTTTTCGCAGGGGAAATAGTGGACTCTATTCCGGTCCACTTGAACAATGCCAGAGAACCAGAACACTTAAGAAAGACAAGTGGACTCTGATGCCCCTCGCACAACAAGTTTCAAAAGCATCGTATGCGGCCACCCCACACCAATGCCTCTTGTTTTGGCTCTGATGCCGGTGGCGTTCCAGTGTGGCCGAACAAACAGGCCAAGTGTCGCTGGGCTTCTTACTTCCTCAAGCCTTGAGTGAGCAGCCCTGCAATTCAGTCATCCACACGGTCGGGAGTCATACACAAAACTGTGCGTAGCACGCACGTTTCTCGAAACAGCAACCTTTAGTTCAACGACGGACACACGTCACACGCCGAACGCATGCATATGCCACGCCTCCCGCTTCGGCTCGGGCTCTTGCACAGCCGGCTCGGTCGCCTTGCGCTCCAACCAAATGCATTGTGTGGCACCAGGCATCCACTGCGACAATGCGGGTTATCCAAACTTAGCGCAGTAGACTCCTGCAAAACCGTCCAAGCGTTCAAAAGGGCAAGTGTGATCCGAGTTCTCGCCAACTTAAGTCGGTGCTCCCACTCACTAAGCCTGTAGCAAAACCAAGGAGTTCGACAACTCTCCAAAGAATTCTCGGCACACCAAAGCTGACAAATTATCATTTGAAGCATGACTAGGGCAATGCCACCCAAGGCATCTTCCAGTTGGTCAGGGCACAAGAAAGTCACCATCGAAAGCATCGTATTCGTCCGCAGCCCGCACCAATGCCTCCTGCTTCGGCTCTGGTGCCAGAGCAGCCTTGCAGTGTGGTCGGCTGCGAAGCGCACAGCTTCCCGAAGAATCTGGCCAAGTGTCACTAGGCTTCTTACTTCCTAAAGTCTTGAGTGAGCAACCCTGCAATCCAAGCATTCACACGGCCATACACAAAGTGTGGTGCACGCATGTTTAAAAAAGAAAACATGTAATTCAACAACGGACACACTGGCAGGGCAATCCAACAAGTTCTCACCGGATGCACATGCCACACGCCTCTGGCTTCGGCTCTGGCTCTGGCACAGCCGGTTCGGCTGCCTTGCGCGCTGACTAAATCCCATCTGTGAAACGAGGCATCCAGGACGAAATTCCGAGCGCCTTCTACGCAGGGTTACCCAGACCAAATGCAGTACGTTTCAGCTCCAAGACTGTCAAGATAGATCGGAGCTCCCGGTCTTCTGCATAACGCGCAAAACCAAGGAGTTCCACAACTCTCCAAAGACAATTCGGCAAACAAAGACTGACCGATGATCGCTTGAAGCATAATTGGGACACAAGGCATCTTCCAGTTGGTCAGGGCACAAGAAAGTCACCATCGAAAGCATCGTATTCGTCCGCAGCCCACACCAATGCCTCCTGCTTCGGCTCTGGTGCCAGAGCAGCCTTGCAGTGTGGTCGGCTGCGAAGCGCACAGCTTCCCGAAGAATCTGGCCAAGTGTCCCTAGGTGTCTTACTTCCTAAAGTCTTGAGTGAGCAACCCTGCAATCCAAGCATTCACACGGCCATACACAAAGTGTGGTGCACGCATGTTTAAAAAAAGAAAAAACATGTAATTCAACAACGGACACACTGGCAGGGCAATCCAACAAGTTCTCACCCCCAATGGTGTGGGAATGAAACGGATGCACACGCCACACGCCTCTGGCTTCGGCTCTGGCTCTGGCACAGCCGGTTCGGCTGCCTTGCGCGCTGACCAAATCCAATCTGTGAAACGAGGCATCCAGGACGAAATTCCGAGCGCCTTCTACGCAGGGTTACCCAGACCAAATGCAGTACGTTTCAGCTCCAAGACTGCCAAGATAGATCGGAGCTCCCGGTCTTCTGCATAACGCGCAAAACCAAGGAGTTCCACAACTCTCCAAAGACAATTCGGCAAACAAAGACTGACCGATGATCGCTTGAAGCATAATTAGGACACAAGGCATCTTCCAGTTGGTCAGGGCACAAGAAAGTCACCATCGAAAGCATCGTATTCGTCCGCAGCCCACACCAATGCCTCCTGCTTCGGCTCTGGTGCCAGAGCAGCCTTGCAGTGTGGTCGGCTACGAAGCGCACAGCTTCACAAAGAAACTGGCCAAGTGTCAGTAGGCTTCTTACTTCCTAAAGTCTTGAGTGAGCAACCCTGCAATCCAAGCATTCACACGGCCATACACAAAGTGCGGTGCACGCATGTTTAAAAAAAGAAAAAATGTAATTCAACAACGGACACACTGGCAGGGCAATCCAACAAGTTCTCACCCCCAATGGTGTCGGAATGCAATGGATGCACATGCCACACGCCTCTGGCTTCGGCTCTGGCTCTGGCACAGCCGGTTCGGCTGCCTTGCGCGTTGACCAAATCCAATCTGTGACACCAGGCATCCAGGACGAAATTCCGAGCGCCTTCTACGCAGGCTTACCCAGACCAAATGCAGTACGTTTCAGCCGCTGCAAGACTGTTCAAGTGTTCAAAAGGGAAATTGATTGATTTTGAGTTCCGCTGCGAGTCTCTGTCAACTTAATTCGGAGCTCCCGCTTTTCTGCATGACGCTGCGACGCAACAACTCTGTGTAAGCAAAAACCAAACAATGTAACAATTATCCAAAGAATATTCGGCTAGCAAAAGCTGACAAATCACTTAAAGCATGACTTGGGCATTGTCACAAGCCATCTTCCAGTTGGTCAGAGTATAACCTAATCACCAACAAAAGCATCGTATTCGTCCGCAGCCCAACGCTTCCTGCTTCGGCTCTGGTGCCGGAGCAGCCTTGCAGTGCGGCCAGCTGCAAAACCAGTGCCACTATCATGGCAATGAAATGCAATCGCACAGCTTAACGAAGAAACTGGCCAAGTGTCCCTAGGCTTCTTACTTCCTGAAGTCTTGAGTGAATCCAACGAGTCCGCGGCGGGGGGTGTCGCTTCCCAATGAAAGCTCCAAATATCCGATCCATGGGAAAAACGGGGCACCTGATTCTTGATAGTTGCTTGGAAGGGACCCAGGTGGATGACAAGCAACCCCGGACCCGCCACAGGGTGACAAGATAAAGCAAACTCATCGGGGAGGGGCACCGCTGTTTTCAACCGAGCGCAGGAAAACCTGCGACCAAATGGCGCCAGCTTCATAGGGCCGAAAACTCTTGCGGGTCGCACAACCGAGTTTGGATTGTTCCTTGACCTGTTGTCTGTGCCGATAATTTTCGGATAAACTCAGGATAGACACCTCGATCGAAAGGACCTTCAGGGCATTTTGTTGATGGCCCGCAAAGAAAGGAACTTTCGCAGAGGACTCTGGTTTCCTCCCAATCAGGCCTGGAAAATCCTGGAAAGGTTTCATGAGAGTTTGCTTCTGGGAAACAAAGGGGGTAGGACTCTTTGGACGGCGGGCCGCCTCGGGCGTTCTGTTCATGGCATCTGCTGCCTCCAACAGCTCGCCCTGCGCGCTGTCGCGCTGAAAAATTGGACTGGCCCCATGGATTTTGTCCTAAACCACTGACATGATGACCGAGAATCGGCTTCTGCTGCCAACTTGCCCAAGGAACGAAGAGATAAACCTTTCTGGCTATTGCCCCTCCCATGTTTAGCAGTAGGAAATCATTTCGGAAAAGCAGGATTTAGGGAAGAAGTTTGCTCCTTATGTAAGGCAGACTCCCCCTGAAATTCTAGCCTGCTTGAAACCTCGGTTGACCACAGCTGGCAATAACAGGTGGTCATCTGGGATTGTTTGCGTATATGTTTTTGTTGGGGGAATCCGGTTTGGATAGCTTTAAATGGAGACATTCCCATTTTGGGGGAGAGCCCATATTTCGGTTCGCCATGGCTCAAAATTGCCATCGAGAGCATGCGGGAAAGATCCGATCTTTTCGCTGAAGCTGTTAGGCTTGATGCCTTCCAGACCCTTGGAAGCCCGACATGGGATACCGCAAAGCTCCAACGCTATGGCTTCGAACCGCTTGCGCGTGGATGGCAGTGCGATTCAAGAATCACCGCAGGGGCAGCATAAGAAAAACCAACGATATCGTCGCAACAGGGGCATGCCAGTATTTTGTTAGCCCCTTGTGGGCCACATGGGTCTGTCTTTTCTGAGGGTACCCCTTTTAGTGTCGTTGTTTAGCGTGAAACCAAAAAGAAACACCGCGCGCGGCAAGTTGTTGGTTTCGCAGGTGTGAGAGAAAACCACGCATTTTCTCGATAAGTTGAAGGTTAAAGATCCAATCAAAAGCAAACAAGGAAAATTGACCTGTTTGGGACCTGGAATGAATATGATTATGTATATATATATATATACATATTGCTGCCAACAACAAAAGCACCATCCAAAGCATCGTACCCGTCCGCGGCCCAATGCCTCTTGCTTCGGCTCTGGTGCCGCAGCAGCCTTGCGATGTCACCGGCTGCAAAACCAGTGCCAGCACCATGAGCTTCACGAAGAAACAGGCCAATTGTCCCTGTGCTCCTTACTTCCTGAAGTCTTGCGTGAGCATCCCTGCAATCCAAGCATCCACACGGCCAAACACAAAAAGGGGCCACTATTCTTCCAATCACGCATGAGTTCAACGACGGACACACGTCACACACCCAACGCATGCACATGCCACATGCCTCTGGCTTCGGCTCTGGCTCTGGCACAGCCGGCTCGGCTGCCTTGCGCTCTCACCAAATGCAATCTGTGACGCCAGGCATCCAGTACGACAATCCGAGTGTCTGGTACCCAGGGTTACCCAAACCAAACGCAGTAAACATTTCAGCTCCTGCTAGACTGTCAAGTTTATTCGGAGCTCCCGGTCTTGTGCATAACGCTTCGACGCAACAACACTCTCTCAGTAAAACCAAGGAATTCGACAACTCGCCAAAGAAAATTCGGCAAACAAAGTTGACACATGATCACTTGAAACAGAAATCGGGCATTGCCACACAAGGAATCTTCCAGGTGGTTCGTATCCGTCCGCAGCCCAATGCCTCCTGCTTCGGCTCTGGTGCCGGAGCAGCCTTGCGGTGTGGCCGGGTGCAAAACCAGTGTCAGCGCCATGGCAATGAAATAAAATCGCACAGCTTCACGAAGAAGTAGGGCGATTGTCCCCAGGCTTCTTAATTACTTCCTGAAGTCTTGAGTAAGCAACCCTGCAATCCAAGCATCCACGCGGCCAAACACATAAAAGGGCGTAGCACGCACTATTTTTTCAATCACACATGCGTTCAACGACGGACACACGTCACACACCCAACGCATGCACATGCCACACGCCTCTAGCTTCGGCTCTGGCTCTGGCACAGCCGGCTCGGCTGCCTCGCGCTCTCACCAAATGCAATCGGTGACGCCAGGCATCCAGCACGACAATCCGAGTGTCGGGTACCCAAGGTTACCCAAACCAGACGGAGTACGGTTCAGCATCCTGCAAAACTGTTCAAGTGTTCAAAAGGGAAAGTATTCTTTTCATGTCCTGCTGCGAGTTCTCTTTCAAGTTACATCGGAGCCTCTTCTGCATGGCGCTGCGACGCAACAACACTTTGTAAGCAAAGCCAAACAATGTGACAATTGTCCGAAGAATGTTTGGCAAACGAAAGCTGACAAAGAAACACCTGAAGCATGATTTGGGCATTGACACAAGGCATCTTCCAGTTGGTCAGTGTACAACGAAGTCACCATGACAAGCATGGTATTCGTCCGCAGCCCACAACAGCGCCTCCTGCTTCGGCTCTGGTGCCGGTGCAGCCTTGCAGTGCGGCCGGCTGCAAAGCTGGTGCCAGTACCATGGCAATGAAATGGAAGCACAACCATCACCCCGCTGAAAGGAAACTCAGTTGGCCCCAAAAGGGGATGTTTAAAGCTATTTCCACCAGAAGCAATTTAGGGAACCCTAAATACAGATGCGGTACATGCGGAATGTCACAGCTGGCAGGCAAACTGCTATGCTGATGAACCGGCTCAGCCGGTAAGCATCAAAAGAACTCTTCGGTTTCATGTGATTTATAGTTGGGGAGAAACAATCCTGCACCAGTTGGCACTGTAGGTGGTGAATCCAAGCATTCAAAGGGCTTAATCCATTTGCAAGCGGATGGACAACACATGTTCCAACGCCCCTTCTGACGGCCGTTCAAGGCAAGGTGCTCAAAAACACATGGAAAACCTCGCAAGCAGGTGCCTGAAACCGACCGCTTCTTATTCTCCGAGCGATTCCGCACAGACCCAGCTGGCTGGTGATTGGACACCTCCATTTTCCTCGTTTCGTTGGCAAATGGTCATCTCTTGCTCGTTTGCTCCCCAGAAACAAGACAAGGGCAAAACAAATGTTTGGCTTTCCATTAGCCAAACCCTTTTCAGGAACCGGTGTTCTACCCGGGCTCGCAACATGAGAGGCATCGGTGTTTGTTTTTCGTTCTTGGTTTCATGTCGTTATGCCGGGGGCAGAGGGGAGGGGGGAACCCTGGTCGAAGCGTCCTCAGAGTTCCACATCGCCATTGCTAGTTTCAAACGTCACCTTTGGATCCAAAGGATGATGTCAAAAAGGGGACGCACAGGGAACAGTTCCTTCTTTCAAAGATACTCTCAATGGACTTTTAAAGAAGGTTGTAGGGCCCCACAGAAAAGTATGCCACCGTTGGTCCAGCAATCCAAAGTATGAGTGACACCCCTGCCCAAGGCCTGTAGCAAGGCAGGCGAGTCGCCTGCGTGAACTGAAAGCAGGTCAGGTTGCGAGGGGAAAAAGTGCAGTTAATGAGTGTCAAGGAAAGTGGCTGTGGCTCAAAAAACCGGAATTCCAAATTGGAACCCTGGTAAGTGAAAACATGGACCAAAACCTGCGGTTTGCCCCCCGTGTTGAATTTTGAGCCACACCCAAATTGAGGCCCAGCTCTTTTTCATTTTTGCGGGAAGCCCGGGAAACGAACCCAACGAACCGAACCGTTTAGGGACCGAACCAAACTGTTCAAGAACTGATCTGTTTGGGACCCAAACCATTGCAAACCATGAACACATTGCTTGGTTGACGTTGGAAGGAGAGCAACAAAAAAGACTTTTGGCAGTTAAGTGGTTGGATTTCAACCACTAAACCACAATAAGCAAAAATGTAAAATGTCTCCCAACAACAACCATGATTGGGTTTCTTTGGGCCTCGCCCGCATTTGCGCCGCCGCCCCTTGGACAACTCGCCGGCTTTGCTTTGGGTCGTTTGGAGGTTGAGGTTTGCGCGGGCAAGAAGCAAGGCCCGGGAAGCTGGCCCAAGCCGCCAGCAGATACAACCGAAAGAGATACGCATTAGGCCGAGCCTTCCACTTGATGCAGCCCAATGGACAAAAAACATATTTCCTGCGATGGATTCCCTCCAAAACCGTAAAGGGAAATTCAAAAACGACACGCAAATGGGAGGGATTCGAAGGAAGTCAGCGAATCGGAAAAACAAAAAATCCCCGAGGTTCGGTTTTCGGAAGCCGAGCCGAATCGAACCGAATCGAACCCCTCGTGATGGGGAAGTTGCAGGTGAGTCAGTCTGACAGCAACTCAAAGCCTGGGATTCAAGGATCCTTGCCACAAAGGCCACAACCCACAAGAACCAAAAGGGCGAAAAGCTTTCCTTTCTTGAGGAGGATGAGAAGGAGCCCTGGCCTTCTCCAATACCGGGAATGGGAATTCCGTGTGTCACCCTCGCCCAGCTGCCTTGAATCTTTCAACAGAGAGAATTGGAAAGAGGATACCAGGCTTTGATCAGCTCAGATGCAAGGTGTTCTTCCTCCGCTCGCACTTTTTGTTTGGCCCCAATGGATTCACACCCACCCCGCTGAGCCGTGGCAAAAAGCACTTGGCCCTTCGAGGGTTTGGAACCGCAATTTTGACAATCGCCGTCTCATTGAAAGGCTTCCCCCACTCCACTCGACCTCATTTTTCTTCGGGGCGACCAGAACTTCAACTTGAAACAGGCCCCAAACCGCCGATTCGCTTCGGAGAACTTGTTTCCAGTTTCCAGAAACCCCAGTGCTGTTCGGCTCAAAATAGGGGCCCCCCCCCAAAAAAAAAAAACGCCTCCGACTTCCTGTTGGTTCCCGTTGAAAGGGCTCCCTATTTTGAGAAAGCAAGCCGGTTGTGGTTATAAGGCGACTAAGCCCATTCATCCCACCTACATCCATGGTTCTAGCCTAAGCCCCTTGAACATCCATGGTGCCGGACCCTCCGAAGCAAGGCAAGCGGACCGCCTGGCTGCGTGGGGCTGGTTTCAGAGGTGGATTTGCCCAGGTCCAGGGCAGGTGGCGCCACTTCTCGGCCTGCCGCGCCTGCTGGCGTGGGTGGATTCCCGACCTACTGTGGCTGGACGAAACCCATTTCGCACCACTTTGAAGCCATGGGAAACCATTGTTCATCGGTATATACAGGGGAATCATCATTCCATGGCTTACTAGGTGCAGGATTTCGTCCATCCACAGTAGGGACTTCAAACCCAAGCAATGTTGGGACTGGCGTTTTGTGAATCCTTTCCAAGCCATTTAACTGGTTTCCATTGATCACCATGTAAATGAATAGGACTACCTCATGCTCAATGTTCAGCCAATGGGGTAGCCGAACAGATCGAACCAAGCTTCCATGTGGGAGCCTGAAGCCAACAAATGGGCGTGGGTCAAAAAAAATGGTACCCCAAATGCATCTCTAAATGGAAGCATGGACTTTAAAACCTGCGGTCCGATTCCTGGTGGTTTCGTTTTGATCCATCCCCAAATCGAACAAAGGTTCCATCGCTCACCTCGGCCGGAGCAGAACTCCTTGGTGAACCGCTGGCCCATGGTCTGGCCAGGCCTGCGCCACCGGGCTGGGGGGGGGGGACCAAAAATCCGCCCGGAACCAAAGGGTGACCTAGGGGAAGCTTCCATGTCCAGTCTTGCCAGAAATCCTAGACAGGAAACCGGCTTCTTTTTGTTCTAAACGAAAGGGGGACCAGTTGGTTTTGATATGAAGCATGGTTGAAAGGAATGGGGAATCAACCCCTATAGGTATGTGAGCAAAACCGACCACGATACTCTTGGGCAAAGTGCATGCGTCGCAAAATCCCAGCCTTGACTCGCGGCAGCTCGCTGGAGGTTTTCAGCTTGAGCCACACCATGTGAATCGGGTGACTTAGACTATTAGGGCAACTCGAGGTATGAAGCCAAAAGCAAACAGCTTGACATTCGACAGTTCTGGAACTTTTACCCCTGATCTACCACTGATTATGGCTTGATTGGAAACTCGCCAATCAGTCTGACCCAAACCCTGATCGGGGTTGGCCCCCGTTATGCATACGAGCCACTGTTGTTCAAGCATCCTCCTGCCTGTTGCCCTTGAAAGGGGACAAGAGTCCGGCTCCCCAAAAGGAGATTCCTTCAGAACTTCATGTTGACCGCAAATGAATCTGGAAGACCGTACTCATCAGGGTGAAACTCTCCATTCTAAGGAGGTTCCCTGACTAGAAGGGGTCCTGTCAATCCGAAGCTAACATTCTGGCTTTGGGGTTATGTTTGTTTTGTTTTGTTGTTTTGGTTGTGTTCCGTTTCCGGGTTTTGATTGTGGCTCATGTTGTTTTTCCTCTGACAGGGACCCCCTGACACCTCTGACACATCTGGTGGGTTGAATTGCAACATCGGCACGAGGCATTTCCCTCGCGGTCCCTGGGAAAGCTGGCGAAGCCGTCCACGGACCTCCGCAAGGCGGGGGTCTACCCCGATGTGTGTAGACTCAGTTGCCAAGTTCGGACACAGGAACCAAAGGTGATCACCTTTTGGCAGAACGCTTGCCATGGCAAAACCAAAGGGCCAAAAGGTAGATCCAATTTGGGCAAGTGGATAGAAGAAAAGGGGAGACTTAACAACTTGGGTCCCAACTAATAGAAATTGAAGCTGGGTCCATGAGCAAACCCCGCTAAAAATTTGGGAATCCCACAGAGTTTGAGCAACACAAAGCAGCAAACACCGACATGTCAAGAAATGTCAACCTTTATGTATGGCGATGTTAAGCATCAGCTTACCCGTTCCCGTTCCGTGGTGCACAATTTGGTTCAACTCCATCCTTCGCGGGTAGGGGCAAGATCCTACCAATACTCAAGTATGCTGTTCAGGACGCAGCAAGCACAAAGTGTCCAGCCAAGATTCGGGGCAAGCCAGAAAAGCTCCAAGCCGATGAATTTTCCGCAGGCCTCTGATTTTCCAGGGAAAAGGGGTCGGACCTCCCTTTTTTGAACTTGGTTGAATTCGAAGAGGATCTCACTCAAAAACAAACAGAACACGGAAAAAGCTCTGCGGCCTCACTTCCGTTATTGATCTTCCTAAACGGTACACAAAGCAAGTCCCAGAAACTCGGGAAGTGACCTGAACATGCTCAGGTTTGCCCAGAACCCTGTTCCCTCCTCTCACCCTCCCACCGCATCCCCCAGCGCAGGCAACTTGAGAATGAGCCGAAACCATGCACTACCAGTTGAACCCATGCTTAGCTGCGTGGCCCAAGGAAAAGCATAATTTGGTGGCTGATCCAGCTAGGTTCGGCACATTCCACGCATCCTCTTTTTCAGTCTAGCCGAGGCAGAAACCCATGTCTTCCTATATACACTAAATGCTGATTGTGTGGACCCATGTTATTCTGTAGAAATCGAGGCTCCGGAAGGTGTCCCATCTGATAAATCTTGGCTTAAGGCTGACCTAAACGGAAATGCGTGCCCAGGGGCTAATCGGGTTCAGATTTAACCAACTCGCAATGGGAAGGTGAGTCAACGGGTTGGCTGGCTCTTTTTGCGAGCGGGTTCTTGCTGGGTGCGAAATGAAGGGGGCGCGGGGTCTGGATCTTTGTTCAACAAATGCTCATCCCCTTTTGGTTTCCCTTTGGGCACATTTGAACACATGGTTGATCTTGATTGCATCCAGCAATCAGATGTGTCTGTGTTAAAGGAAACCTCTTTTGACTTGCTTTCGGGGAAACCAAAGGGCGAGCTGGAGTTAAGACAAACCATGGTCATACATTCAGCCTCGGATCAATGCTCAGGTGCACCTCGGCGAACACGTCGAGTTCAGGCGCGAGAGGCAAAACGAACCGCCAAGGGCACCCTCCACTTCTACTTTAAGCGTTCTGAGTCGCCCCGAAAACACCGGTGGATTGGCCACACACCCACCTTGGTAGATTGGATTGGTGACGTCTCAAAGGGGTGGCTTCCCATGAACCAGCAAAACAAAAAAACAGGGCTTCAATCCCCCAGCCGCAAATTTCAACCTAATTGGTGGATTGGATTGGTTTGGTGACGTCTCAAGGGGGTGGCTTCCGAAACCAATTCAAACCAACAGTTGGCAGAAGAGAGTCTCAGTGAGTTGACGTTGGAAGGGGAGCAAAAATTTAAATGTTAGCAGTTAAGTGGTTGGATTTCAACCACTAAACCACAATAAGCAAAAAATGCAAAAAATGTTTCCCAGCGACAACCATGTTAAACCAAATGCCAAGTTGGACCAACTGGACCTATCCTCGCCAGGTGCACCCTGAGCACCTCGAATTTGATGCTTCGAACTTGAAGGGGCCATGGGCAGAACATGTGGGACGTGGGCGGGTGGATGTACCCCTTTTCCGAGCCACGATTTAGACGCGCGATGTTAAATGTTACACTTATGTTTGCACATGCACGCGCGCACGCGCACACATAAACGTACGTGTGTGTATATATATATATATACAGATATATGTTCCCCTCATGCCAAAAGGGATATCTTTTTTGATTGTACATGAGTCAACCTTGGCACTGCCAGGCAGGCGGGGGGTGGGCACACATTTGCATGGTGATGGCCTTCTCAGGGCTAGTCCCGGCTCTAGCTCGAGGAGCTTTGGAGCCATTGAGATCTAGGAGGATTCACCAAACCGATGGTTGGCTAGGTCCTCCAGTAGGGAGGTTAGAATAGAGGTTAGAGTAGGGGAACCCTCCCCCAAAAAAGGGTAAAAGGGCACTACTGGGTAGTTGGGCTTTGACACAAAGAAGGGACTTTCCAGAAGATCTTGACTTCGTGCTGCCCCTTACGTCACCTCGCCAAAAAAGGAGATGATACAGCATGCTGTCTCGAGGACGCACAACATCAACATCCAAGGACCCCTGTCATTAGCCTTCATGCCCGACACTTCCCGGTTTCCCACTCCCTCAAACATAACAGCTTATCTCTGTCGACCCCCCTCAAGTACACTTCAACCAGATTGTGTAAAAGTTTTCTCAGATTGGATTTGCAGGGCTACGACAGAAAATGAATGACACCTGTCCAACAAATTATTCCGGCTGAAAACAAACAAACAAACAAGCAAACAAACAAAACAAACAAACACACACACACACACAAAAGAAAACAACTATATAAAACTAAACGGAACCCGAACAAATAAATGTGCGAAACACTTAAGTAGCAACCAGAGTGCATAAATCAGCCAGGTCCCCCATGCAGCGCGGATGGTTGTTTTGCCAAGGCCTGTGAGCACGGCTTTGAAAAGACCGCGCAACTGGTTGGTTTCCCGCGAAAACAGCCACGACAATCAGTGACAAAGCAAACCAAATCACATCTGAGGGTCTTCTTTGAGTGTGCCTCTTTAGGGCTGCTTCAAAGGGAAGCCAAAGTATAGCCCCCATTCAGAGACAAAGAGGGCTCAGCACAAGCCGCCCTGTTTTGAATTTTTATCCAGCGAAAATTGCTTCAAGGTGGCCAAGTGATACTCAATTATGCTTGCTGTTTCTCAGTAGAGAACGACCTAGGGTTGGGAATGAAGGTATACGGATTCCCTCGATGGAAACCACAATGAATGGTCATGAATGGTTGAGAAGGGGTGATCCATTTCTCATTCCCAGCAAGTATCTTAAAACAAATACCTCATTGGCTTGTGAGTCCCAGCTCACGCCCCCACCGAATCACCGAAGGGCTCGGCTCGAGTTCCGTCTGCTCCTTGCGGAGGTCGTCCAACCAGGGTTCTGCGGGGTTCCAGGCAACCAAATGCCTGACGCGTTGCAACCCGGATGTTGACTTCTGAATAAACCCCGCCTTCCAGCACCCCCCAACTGCTTTTTGGACATTCGGATTTTGGTGATGGGAAAAAGCAGGCTTGTTGGGGTACTCTGGTTAAGGGCTGCTTTTCTGGCAAGGAATGCAACCAAAAAGGAGCCCCGCTTAATGGAGGTTGGTTTATCAATCAGGGCTCAACAGTATTTCTAGGTCTGTGATCTGCCACAACTCCCGGGAACTGTTTGGGGCCATGTTTAGCGCTCAGTTCCAACTAGGATCACATGGATTTAGAGTATTGCGGTTATTTCAAAATCCAGAAATGCCCCTTGAGAAATGTCTTGGAAAGAAAAGCGCGTGAGGAAATGAACATCCACAAATTAAGCCAACCTCTTCTTCAGGCATGCCAACTGTTGTTGAAATAGCCGCCGTTCAGTAAATCCCTTTCCCTCACCTCCTGAATTTGCTTGGCCAACCACACCTCTGAACTTGTCAATGAGTTTAGTCACTAACATGGTTTCTCCCAAAACCTATAAGCTCATAAGGTCCCAGACTCAAGAGCTGATGGCCCAACAAAAAGTCCAAACTTGTTGTGTACCACTAAAACGGCAATACCAAACAGTATAAAGTCCAGGAACTCAGGAAGTGAAAAGAACTGAGGGAGCAAGTTCAAAAGGGCCACCTGGGTCAAATTTGTTGCCGTGGGTCCGATCCTTGCCGGGACATGCTCCACGTCTTGGATGGGGTAAAAACCATCACTTCTGTGACCGGGTTGCCGGGTTGGTCTCAAAATACCGAGAACGCTCCCCCCCAAAATGGGTGGTTTCCTGTTTGTTTCCCTTGAACCCCCCCAAGCAAAATGGCGCCTTCAGCTAAAAAGACACATCCGTTCAGCGCTGGACATACCATTTCGGCAGCCCGCAGGTTGCTGGAAGAGTTTGGTGGTTTCAACATGGATTGGCCCCCCCCGCTTTCTCCCACCTCAAGCATCACCCCACGATGGATTTCACCTCAAGTCATATAATTGTCCCGCAACACTACATCCCGCCCCTTCAACTTTGGGTACCCAGCCTGGGTGCGTCCAAATGGAAGGAAAATCCGAGTGGGACACAAACTGCAAGGGAAACCACTACCTGGCAAAAGGATGAAGGCAACAAGCCGTCAAGCCGTCAAGCCGTCCAACCCGTGGGCTAGGGACATTTCTGGGAAGCCAAAGTTCCCTGTGCCCAAAGTGGCAAAGTCTTGGTTGATGTTGAACGGGGAGCAAAAAAAAAACAGTTAAGTGGGGATTTCAACCACTAAACCACAATGAGCAATGATGTAAAATGTGTCCCAACAACAACCGAGAAGTTGCGCATAAGCCGAGGACGATAAATTCCGCCGGGAAATCTGATCGAAATGGCGAGATGCAACAAGCTGACGCCAAAGCATTCCACGCACAGCAGAGAGGCATAGAAGAGGTCCTATCGGGGAAAAGGAAGGCACTTGTGATCACATGTGGAGGTGGGGGGGGGAGAAATAACACATTCCGCCTCCTCATCCCACTACATGAATCTCATTTTGGGGGAGGGAAGGGGACTGGGAGGGGTTGCTTATAGGGCATCCTGTCCTAAACTTCTTGAGTCAGCCACCTGAAAGTCCCCCCCCCCCCCGCCCCTCGGCAAAAGCAGCCTTCATAAGAGTCGCCTGCAAAA